ATGGGTTTGCAGTCCTGTTACATTACTTGATGATCAAGATCGGGGGTTCGTACGTCATGTTACATTATTCACAGTCATGTTTCACTATTCGATGATCAAGCTCAGGGCTTTTAAATCTGCGTAAAAATCAAATTAATCTGTTAATTTCATGCTGCATAACGACTTTATTGCAATGAGCGAAACTTCAGTTCGTCTATAGTATAACTGGAGAACAGTGTGATGTCATAAATAAAGGGTAGGGTTTGCAAATTCGTAAGAAATAGATTTTTATCTTCGAACACATCGCATGGGTGGATTAAGTTGAGATTGTCATATTGAACGATAATTCACATTTAAAACTATCGCTGACATTTTAAATTTTGTGTGGCTGCAGTGGACGATCCTCTGGACGCAGTGGCAGTGCACATGGGTGGCGGCATGTGGGGCCTGNTACACCGATAATAATGCACAATGTTATTTAAGTTATGTGAGGGCGACTTATTCTATGCAGCTCTGCCGTTCGTAATGACCGGCCCGCGTCAGAATGGCGCAAGGGTCTTCAGCGTGCGGCAGGTATCATCAAAAATCTAATAAAATAGTGCAGTTTCGCGCTAATATTAGATCCCTTCACATAGATCATCCGTTCCTATAGTTTTTGCACTGTACCATCCTAGAAATCAAGTAAACTCAGAAAATTAATGAGTTTTAATTTCCAAAACGTGACACTATTTCTGCACGTAGCGCTAACCCTTTTGACGGGCCAAACCCGGCGAGTATGATCCACACAAGGGCAAAAAGTGTATCGCGGGTTGGATAAAGTTTTGCTAATTTTCCTGAGTATTATTTACACTGTAAATTTCTTCTCCATTTTGCAATTTTGCTATCACTTCCCTTGAACTCCCCCAGCTCTGCCATTCCAAATGAACGCCCCGCACTCAAGCGACGCTGTCAACGGAGTCACGTTAGACCACGACATCAGCCAGAGCTGCTCACCTCAGCACCTTAGACGTAGCTCTTCATACGGGTCCTTGCGCGACTCAAATGCTGATTAGAATTTTATATAGTTTACTTTAAATTGTATTAATAGTCAACTTGTCATGCTACTGGTCCTTGCGCGACCCAAGGTCCCATGCTGATTAGAATTTTGTACAGTTTACTTTAAATTGTATTAATAGTCAACTTGTCATATGCTGCTGGTCCTTGCGCCACTCAAGATCCCATGCTGATTAGAATTTTGTACAGTTTAGTTTATAGTACAGTATAGTTTTTGTACAGTAAAGTACAGTCAACTTGTCATGCTAGTGGTCCTTACGCGACTCAAGGTCCCATGCTGGTTAGAATTTTGTACAGTATAGTTTTACGTATTACTGGTATTAGTGGTCAACTTGTCATGCTACTGGCCCTTGCACGACTCAAGGTCCCATGCTGATTAAAATTTTGTACAGTATAGTTTTACGTAGTAGAGGTCAACTAGTCATGCTACTGGTCCTTGCGTGACTCAAGGGCTCATGAAGCTTGGAATTTTGTACAGATAAGTTAAGTTTTAATTCTATTGGTAGTCATGTTATTATATAGTCCCTGTGCGCCTGAAGGGGCATAAAGCCCCTCTGTTTCTTGCACAGTTTAGGGAACATTTTCATGGATAATCTGTTTCTTGTCTTTGCCCGACTGCAAATTCCGTGAAGCCTGAAGTATAAGCAATTTAGCTTCTATTATTATTCTAAAATCTTGCTCTTTCCTTCTGAATATGCTTATTTTTAAAAATTTTTAAAACACTTGCTTCATCTTTTCGGAGTTGTTTTACAATTTCACAATATAATATACCTACAAATAAACTCATATTGGTATTTCAAGTATGCATAACCCTCAGAAACAAATGACGTTTCGTAACATTTATTTGTCTAATTTCACAACGCAAAAACTGTCCATCGATACGCGACTGTTCCCTAATGCGGGTTTCAATCTTGCTTGGCAGGTTGGACAGCGGCCTTCCCAAATGGAACGCCTTGGAGATGCACCGTATTGAGCCTTGCTACAGGAGTAAGCGGATACAAGCCAGCCTTATGCGAATCAAGCGTTCGTTTCGTGATGGTATTTCCAGGGCGCTGGGTTGGCTTCATGAACATATGTGTTAGCTTCAAGAAAGCGTCAACGTCAGATTATGATAACCAAGTAATAGGAAAGACAATAGATGGACAACATGAGAGTGTTGAAGTTTCTCCTATGGTAATAATAGGGTAATATTATTATGAATTGAAGGTAATATTAATTGGTAATATGAATTCATATTACCAATAAGGTAATATGAATTGAAATGAGAACTTAAAGTAGCGATATAATATGTCATATTTCACTGAATTTGTTACAGAGTCGTCACAAGATTAAGAAATAATGGTTAATGAAAGATAAAAGACTTAGAAAGGAACGCATTCTACGTCAATCATCCGCACTAAAATCTTTACACTCGTATCACTACATTCCATTCGTTTCTATACGATTATACGGAATAGAGCGCAAAATGTAGCCAAACTTTTGAATTACCATACTTGTGGTGAAATTAATATACGGAATCGTCGAATCGATTACATTCTTACAAAACTGAGATCACGAAGTTATTTTTATAAGCACAAAGATAATAAATTGATAAAGAATGATCATATCTATCTTCAAATCTCCTTTATAATCCAAAACCTCTTCGCACGTTTCAAGAAACCCGAAATTGAACTTGAAACGCGAAGACGTAGGGGGCAACTTGATCTTGTAACCAACGATGAAGCCTTGATCAGTAAAAAATAGTTACTGCTAGCAGGTCTCTCAAACATCCATCAAAATGCCCTGTAGTCACGTCGAAGGTACCGCCTCCACCTCCATGCCCCGAATTCATGTCGAAGTTGGCAGTCACGTCGAAGGGAACCAACTCCTCCACCATGCCGGGCAGTCACGTCGAAGAAATCCAACTCCCCCACCATGCCTGGCAGTCACGTCGAAGGGATCCAACTCCCCCACCATGCTTTGCAGTCACGTCGAAGGGATCCAACTCCCCCACCATGCCTGGCAGTTACGTCGAAGGGATCCAACTCCCCCAGTCCCCACCATGCCTGGCAGTCACGTCGAAGGGATCCAACTGCCCCACCATGCCTGGCAGTCACGTCGAAGGGATCCAACTCCCCCACCATGCTTGGCAGTCACGTCGAGTGGATCAACTTCCTCCGCCATGCCCCGCAGTCACGTCGTAAAGATGCACCTTCTCTGCCATGGTCTGCAGTCACGTCATAGGACAACTTCATTTCAACGGTTTTAATTTCTTCGGAGTTTTTCTTCTTCGGAGTTCAAATTCATTAATTTAAAGTATATTTATAGAAAATTTTAAGATCATCAAGTGGTGGTTGTCGGTGTGTTGGTGGATTTTGAGTTTGTCGAGAGACGGGGATTCACTTCACATTGATGATGAGTTGAGAGTAGGTGTAGTAGGTAAGCTAGGTGTAGTGTCACAGGAGTCCCAACTGAAAAAAATTGTCTGAAGCGCTTCGATAGGGTCAAGGCGAACTTCAGCCTTGGCTGTGGATTTTCAGCGTTATGACTGTAGTTCGAAACCGGTGTGGTGTACCGTGTACGCTGTTTCTATCTTGGTGTGCTTTCTCTTGTTCTTGCTGATAAGGGTAATTAGTATGCATGCTGCACTTTAATGTCTTGATGAAACTCTGCACGCCTTCTCCATTCAGCATTGTGACTCATTTTCCATGGGCTCGCATGTTCTTGGAAATTTGCATGACAAACTTACTCTCTGAGGTTCACACCTCTGAAGCATGGAAAAAGTCTCCTGACCTTGGGTGCCTGCTGCATCCACATTCTTACCCAGAGCTCTCTAGCTTGGGCTTGGCCCAAGCCTCATCCTTTTATCCCCAACTAATGACTGAGATCAGGCTGGGCAGTGCAAAAGCACTCGAAGCCTTTAAACCTAATTATAAAAAAAAAATATCTTGGTGTGCGACTTTATAGCTCTGAGTCTAATAAGAGTAGCTGTCACTCCAATACCACATGTTGCTAAGGCGAAACACCTTAACATTACTGTGGCCGGACACTAATGCATGCAATAAATGACTTGTGTGTCGAATGGGATTTACCCCTGTCTTTACATTATTCGCATAAAAAGTAAAATTGTGTATAGAAACAAAAGTTATTTTTATGATGCTGTCAAACCACATCTTCATCGCTGACACTATTTTTTTTATACAATGTTGTCAGGCAAAATAAGTAACAAATCTCTAAAACTGTCGCTTTTCGCATTATTTACCGTTGCAAAAAAGTATTCCTGTTGAACGTCATAACTATTTATATTAATTTGAATATAAGTAAAACCATTGTTCAGAACTAGGCGAGAGAAAAAATTTAGTAAAATTTTAACTTTAAAATCTGTATTGTGAATCCAGTGAGGAGGTGTTGTTACTTCTCATTTGTCCTTTAATCTCCACGCGGCAGGCTACTGAGGCGAAACACGTTGCCCATCAAGTGACCGGATACTACGTGACGTCTACTGGTCTACGCCTGTCTAAGGTGTCAGACGAGATTACAAGTCTACGAAGATTTATTGATTAAAATCAAGAATTATTTACTAAAAAAAAGCATAGTACTTTTTTTGCAGTTGAATAGCTATCGTGTTTTTATAACGTAATAAGACCTAAATGTTGGCTAACCGCTTGTTAATCGCCCAGTTGAGTCATAATAGTATTATACTGTCCTAACGAAATTATTGCATCATTTCAAGAAAAATATATTAGAATACCATAAAGTTTGAAGGATCTGGTCTGGTGGAATTATCATTATGGCTAACTTCATTGACACCACTGAACGGGATGAATTAAATGAGTGAGTATGAGATTCCTATTTCCTAAAGCAAGTGAAATAGGCTAGGCTAGGCCTACCTACCTACTGAAGAACAAAAAGTAGCCCTATCATCTAAAATGCTATGTAAACAATTTGTCATTGAAATTTGAGTTGCCAATTAAGTATAGAGGAATTTTAGAAATGGGTGGTCATATGAGGAAAATTAAGCCAATCTCCTAGTCCTACAGGCCACAGGGTGCCTGTTACTCTGTTTGTCTGTTATAGGTACCGTAAAATGGGGTAACTTAGACCACTTTTTTCTTATAAATGATGCCATTTTCTTACTAGCTAAATTAAACTTGAATTGAAACATGCAAAATACAGGTCTATATTATATTTTACCTAATAAATTGAAGAAGAGCTATAAGAAGTTAAGAAATGGCTGCTATAGCTATAGGTTAAATTGGTTAAATTCATGGATAATTTTTTCTTAGCTATTTATGGGTGGCTTCTAACTCTAAGCCTTCTATCAGTTCTAAGCTATTTTGAATTTCCAGTTTGTGTCATATGCAGCATAGTGGCAAAGTCAAATAGCTAAGAGAGTTTTTTGTTGACATTCTGTTTTCTATGTGACTAAATATTTTTCTGACTCTTGACTCTTGAGTACCTATCTTTATCTTATCCCATAGGATATTGAAAACAATTAGGCAGTAACTAGTAAGGGCAGTTTTAGCACATTTATACAATACCCATTTATACAGTGATTACACTGATGATCCAATTAGAACTGGACTTAGTCTGAAAAATCTTTTGTTTGCCACTAGGGTAAACACGGTATATTCCAACATCGTGGTTAATTCCAACACTTCTTAACTTTTTTCCTTTATACCTATTAAGCTTTGTCTTAGTTCCACGCATTCATTGATGGTTGAAATAGTGACTTCATACTATTGTGCGCCATAGTACCATACTATTGCCAAAACACTAGGTCTGGGCCATGGTCAGGAAGATGTGCCAGGTGCTCAGGAATTTATATTGCCATTTTAACGACAGCGCTGTGCGCCGACAGCGCCGTACTTTTAGAAAGCTAAAATAGTTTAAATATGGACGCGCGGCAATGCAAATTACGTAATCACACTGACCGTACACACAAACGTATATCCCCACTGTGTTGTGGTTGGATACGAGTTAACTAGATTGCTAACGCGTCAACTCAGGACTCAGGTTCTAAGAGTCAGCACAGTAATGAATATTCATTCATAGATCACAATTCAATCGGACATGAATTACAGANGCTGGCGCGTAGTGCGGTGTTTTGAGAGTGATGTAAAGCAAACAGAACTTGAGTTGCGCGTATGGTGATTTTTTTATAGCCATTCATTTTTTGCTACGTCCTTAAAGTGTCGGAATATACCGCGTTTACCCTAACTGTTTTTATAGGAAGAATATTATGGTTTGAGACTTTTAAATACGTCTGTGAATATATTAGGAATCCTTTAAGTATACTTGTATTTGCTGATTTCAAGTGGTAAATATATTAATAGATGATTAAGTCAAGAGACGGTTTTTGACACATAAAAACTAATTCCGACACAGCTTGGAATTAGACACACACAGCTCGTTCCAAGCTGTGTGCACAAATTAAAATTTTCTTAATTAGAAGCTTAATATCTCTTAATTAAAAGCCTAATTAAGTAGTGTTCAATATTCTATAGTGTTCTAATTCCAAGCTGTGTTGTATTCCAATACAGCTCACACAGCGATCGGAATTCGAAGACAAGAGGGTCGGAATTACGAATCAGTAGAGTTTGAAGTGCGGCCAGAATTAGTCTTGCAAAATGCTGAATTTAGTCGATAGTCACAGACAGCATCGGAATATATGGATTTGGTAGGTTTGCATTCTAAAGGCTTTGAAATGAATATGGCAACGCTTTGTGATGTTTCATTGTTGCTGGCGCGTAGTGCGGTGTTTTGAGAGTGACGCAAAGCTAACAGAATTTGTGGTGCCCAAGTGGCAACACTGGCAACAGGCAACACTGCATCACACTTGAAATCGGAGAACCGCTATCTAGACCAAGATTGTAAGACCAGTCGTCACTCTGGGGTCACCATTGAAGAGGAGTAGAACGGAAACAATATTTTATTTGAATTTTCACTGTTCCCTTTACCACGTTTTACTGATTCTGTTTATTGATAGGAGAATTTCCTGATAAATTCGGTATAGACCTCATCTGAGGTCTAAGAAGTAGGAGGAGCAATTAAAACTCAAATAAAATATTGTTTCCGTTCTACTCCTCTTCAAATTCGAGTTGCGCATATAGTGATTTTTTGTAGCTATTAAGTTTTTGCTACCTCCTTAATGTGTTGGAATATACCGCGTTTACCCTATGAAGTTAGCGCTGGCCTGCAGAATAGGCCAAGTTTGCAAAATATGAGCAGAACAGCTGAAAACAAATGCAAAAAAATAGGTGCCATTCACTTATCATATTGCTTCTGAAGATCTGAAATTAATTTTTGTTTGCATTTTCAACTTATTAGTAATTTTTTAGAACTGACCTAGTTACCTGGATAGATCTGTCCCTAAGTGGAAAATCCAGAAAATTAAAAAAAATAGATAAAACAAAAATGACTACCTATGCTTTATGGTGAATTTCACCCCTGACCCTCCCTATGCCCTTAGACTAATTTCTTCAGTGAAAATAAAGACAAATTTTACTTTTTGCCCAAGATTTTTAAAAATTGCAATGAAGTCTCATCCAAGTACAGTATTCAAAAATGCTCTTTTTACAGTTAATTTCTGAAAATTTTAGGCAAAATTGACTTTTATATTTTTTAAATTAAGCAAAGCTGCACCCCATATATCTACTGCTTACAAAGAAGATATATTTCACTCCTGAATAGATCTCACTTTAGTTATCTTATCTGGTACTTCCTACTAAATACCCATTTATACTAATCAGGATGCCAGGGAAGGATTATCAAAACTCTGTATTTTTTTGTACTTGCGCAAAAAAGTTGTGTATGTGTTGTGCAAGTACACCCTAATTTTGGCATTATCAAAGCTTGCATAGGTATACAAGACTTATCTAGAAAGCTATTATTAAAACCAAATGGCTAACTGACCAGTCACAGGGTTTGAATTTGCGGTTCTTAGCTCCTCTCGACTCAGTGCGCAGCGCTCTTGGATAAAAGGAGAGTGTGTTGCGGCATCTGCATTGACTGACTAGGGTGCATTTGGAGAAATGAGCAAGACATATTCCAAATAGCAATTCACTTTTTGTCATTATGATCAATCAATATTTTTGCAATCAAGGTAAAAAATTACATTATTCCCATTTCAAATTTGAAGACTTTTTTTAGAGAGACCCATAGAATTTAGAAAATTTTGTGAGTTGGAGTTGCAACTGTTGGAGAAAGAAAGAAATTTGTGTATGGAGCTAAATAAATGGTTGGCTTGTCAACCTACATATAATGAATCAAAAAGGCATGAAAATATTGTTTTAGTGAATAATCATAAAACTCTTGAAAATGAATATAAACATCTCTACCCCTAAATAAATGGTTGGCTTGTCAACCTACATATAATGAATCAAAAAGGCATGAAAATATTGTTTTAGTGAATGATCATAAAACTCTTGAAAATGAATATAAACATCTCTACCCCTCAGGGGAGATTTCTGACATGTGTCTGTGTTCGTCACAAGTCCTAGGATTTCACGCTCCTTGGGGGATTGTTTCTGAGCGCCCCACTGCTGAGCTCCCAGTGTCTGAATGCAGGTCTCAGTTGTGGGGATAAGTTATTATGTAGGTAGGATTCATTGCATTTTCCTCCTCTGTCTCTCTCGTGTGGGTGGCCAAATAAGTGCTAAAAATTAGGGGTCACTTGCTTATCATATTGCTTCTGAAGATCAGAAATTAATTTTTTACATTTTCAATTTTTGAGTAATTTTTCTCATCTTAGTTTCTGTTGCTTTTCACTTGTTCCTCCTTGTCACTTCATCTCTTTGAGATGCTAATGCTGCTTCCTTTGAGCCAGCTTCAGTGGGCTGGACACCTGAGACCTTCCACCCCTTGGGTGATGAATGATTTTTGATTTGAGAAACTTTTGATAACTGAGACTTTCCACCTGTTTGGTAATGTTCATCTTGACTTTTGGTGCAAGATAGCTAAATAGCTGAAACGCTTGTAAATTATAGCTCAAACAGAAAATGGATTAGCTTCTGGCATAAACTGAATTGAAAATTTTTTCCCAAATCATCATTTAGCATGATCATATATCATTCCTATGTTGTATTATTGACAAAATTCTATCACAATTCACTGTCTTGCTAGTAAAGCAATAGTTTCATATTGATTCAGCAGACACTCAAAACTTGTATGTAACTCTTCTTACGGCCCCTTGAGCACCGAGCAGGCGTAAAGTTACGTACAAGTTCACAACTTCTTTATGTAGCTTTCAGCTCAAATGTTTTGATAATAAAACCACCAGAGTTACGTCTTCATAGTAGCACTTTTGCAACATGCAAGTTGCAACATGTACAGGTACTTGCAAAGTTTTGGTAATCCGGTCCCAGGAAGTCAAGACTTCCATTTTGCCATGTGAAAAGAAGGCATATGTAGTTTTTATACATCCAGTGCAACTCTTTGGGGCTAAGAAACAACTTTTGATCAAGATGCATTTTTATTAAGTGCAATCTATTTTTGTTGATATATTAGAAACATGGTAGTTTGGTACTGAAGATATGTGCAAACAAACTTTGGAGCAAATATGAGCAAGTTCCTTGAAATAATATCATTTTTTGCACCTTGTGTATGTGGACCGAATAGAAAGAGCAAGATCAACTCGCACTACCGGTATAGCTAATTCAAAATTTGAGTATTAGAAAAGTAAATAAAAATTGAAGAATTGCGAGAGGCTGGCTGATCGACAATGTAACAGATGATTCAGCTTAACATGTTTATTCATTGGTTTATACATTTCATTTGAATATAGGTACCGGTACCTATGCTTCTACATTTCATAGGTACATGCGTTGGTGCACATATGCATCACTGATAGGTGAAATAGATGCTCAAAGTAAACAATGTTTGTAGAAAATGATGTTTATTGGGGTAAACAGTTACTGGACATATTTCCTGCAGAATATGCAGTCATGGAAGTTCCTGTGTCAAAACCCATAAATGGATGGAATTTGATTTGACATGTTGGCAGAAGAGCCCAAAAGGTAGTACAGAGTTTACTTACTTCTGGACCACTGTTTACTGTTAAAGTATAGTTCAACTCCAAAATTTAGATTGAGTACCTACCTAATAATTTTATTCCCTACAAAACTAATTTAACTAGATTAATTTGTTACCAGGACCATGAAGCCTTTAACCCCTTTCTTCTAAGCCCTTTTCCCCACAAATGAATGCTTCAAAACATTTAATACTACCTATTGATGGTCAACTTTTTCCCTCCTATATGTATCAAGAAGATTCCCTATTTCCAGCATCTGATTAAAAAAAGGTGTTTAATATGTAATAGCTCATCTAAATATTTAAAAAAGTATTCCCTACTTTCTTTGTCATGATTATTTTAATTTCATGCACAACTGTAAAACAAGGTAACTTGGACCGTTTTGACATTTAATGAAAGAAAACCCTATACTACTCAGAAAGTTCTTGCCTCAAAAAAATTGTATTGATGGCTCTTGAGGCCTATATGATGATGTTGATGGCAATGGTCCAAGTCACCCCGTTTTATGGTACTGTCAACTGGGGTTGGGGTGACTGTAGCCAACATTTATTATTTTGTTTTGCTGCCATTTGTTTTTGTTGTAGGTGTGGCCAAAGTCACCCCAGGTGGCCGAAATCACCCCAGTTGATGGTACCTACTGCATTTGGTTTACATGATGTTTGATGTTTGGTACAAATAGAAAAACATTGTCTACAAAATTTAGAAGTTGATTACTTCTTTGGTATACGAAGCTTCACTGTTTTTGGTTCACAGAAAAAGTGAATCCTCAAAAAAAAAACTTCTCTCTGAATAATGTGTTCTGGAATTTATATTGAAACAGATTTTTGTTAATTCTCCTATTCAATTTCAGGTATGAAAATCATTCTCTCTCTTCATCATCTTCATCATCGGCTGCTGAGGAAGAACCTCAATATGAGCCTGAACCTGAGCCTGAACCTGAGCCTGAACCCGAGCCAGAACCGGAGCCTACTCCATCTGTGGATTCTGTAAGCCATCACAGTGAGAAGAGCCACAGTAGCCATAGCCATCACAGCAGTCCTCATGGAAGTCGCCACAGCAGCCCTCATGGAAGTCACCACAGCAGCCATAGTAGCCACAGTCATGGCAATGTGGCTCCACCTCCCTCACAGCCAGTTCACCGCTCCACGTCATCCGTCAGTGGACACAGCAGCCATAGCAGCCATAGTAGCCATAGTCATGGCCATGTGGCTGCACCTCCACCACCACCTGTTCACCGCTCCACATCTTCCATCAGTGGTGGCGGTGACACCGTTTGCTGTCGATGCTGCTAAGTGGTTCACAGCCTCAGACTCTAGCTTGTCACACACTACCGTACTTGAACCCCATTTATCACATCAATAATAATAGCTCACTAGATTCCCATGAGTGATTCAATCTAAATTCGAATTCTCTAACGGCATGAAAAAGTTAGTAGGAACACTGTCGAGGTTATTAGTTGAAATTCCAGTTTGCCGCTAAGTGATGCTATAAGCAGCCATAAATCATGTTGCAGCCATGCTAGTAGAGTGGCTTGCTTCCATTAAAGCTTTGCGTTTGATTATGCACTGTTATTTAGATTGTATCTCTTCCCACCGGTCGTAGTTATACATTATATCCAGTCATATATATTGTGAGGTTTCATGGTAGCTCTTCCCGTAAATGCAAGTTGACAACTTTCAAGATCTTGAGTAATTAGGTAATTTCTTGACATCATTGGATAAAAATTTTAAACATTTTGTGATCTTCCAGAAAATGGGTTTGCTAGCTGTGCTGTGTAACGTTCATTTCTTTGTGATTGTGGCATGTAATGACTACATAGATAATTTAAAATTTAATGAAAGTCAAAGGTCAAATAATGTCAGTGCCTCAGTATTATCGCCCTAAACTTTTCCACTCGTTTCTTTAGTTTCATGAATATGTTTTAGTCATGTATTCAGTGCAGCACGAGTGTTTCGTTTTCTCAATACAAAAAGTCGGCCTCCTGCAACAATTCATGAAGTCATACTGTTCTACACATTATTGCAGTTTCTTTCTTGAATGTTTGCCAATATTTTATTTTGGTCACAATAAATTAACTAGGTATTCAAAAATGGTACTTGACCTTGAAGGAAATTGGTAACATCATTCTAAAGCAAGTTAGTGAATTTATTTTTTTTTTGCTGTGATTGTGACATGAATTCATTGATTCAATATTCATAGTGAGACCTCACAATCAGTAGCATGAATATTTAATTATTCTGTAATTTGCATGTATCCAAGCATCGTTTTGCATGCATAAATTTCGAATGATATGCATAGCTTGTGATGTCTTTCAGAATCTCTTCACTTTTAAAGTTATTACTATTAGCTTGTCACATTTAACTTAATTAAGTGAACGCACATTTAAATAATATGAGAGAAAGAGAAGAAAATAATTAAAAGCTGCTTACAATGAACTTGAAGTTGCCCTGGAAGGCTAAGTTACCAAAGTTCATATTACGGCCGCGTGACATGAGCGATTTGCCTTCATCAATGCCTTGTGTTTTACTATGAACTGATATTGAAGTTATTAGATGTGTAATAGCTGGTAATCTTCTTGCTAGTTGCTTATACTCATTTTTATACATTGATATTGTAGTTCATAACTTACATAGTTGCTGTAATGACAACATAGAAATTAGTAATCTTTTACTGTTTTAAGTACACAAGATAGATGCACGAGAGTGAACTTTTTTGTACTTGTGAGTTCCTCTGCTGAAAATGATTTTGATATTAACTGAATCGATGCCTGATGAGTTTTATAAGATTCTTGTTTGATACCTGGCTGTTTGATACCACGGGAGTTTAGATATTCATCAAGAAGATTCTATTTACAATGCAGAAACTAAATATTTCTATTCCATGGTCACAAGTTTTTTACCTAATGTTAATCAGCTAGTGCTTTGCCTTTCTTTTATTATTTTTATTCTCAAATTCGCCCTAGTATATACCTATACCTATTTGATTAAGTCGAAGCAAGCGTGTGTAATGAATTTTGCGTGCGATGCGCGAGCAGAGGTGGCTTCATGAGTTTGAAAGATGTATTACATGCCGTGTTAACGTCGGTGAAACTTCATTTAGGTTTGATTTTTCTCGTTTTAAGCTTTGTTACATTTCATCTTAGAATCTTGTCTGTCACTGCCAACTGATTTTTGAAACTACTACATCTATTAGATGTTTTTGTTCTTGCTCCGTTATGAATGCATAGAGAGAGCAGTGAGGAATGAACGAAAAACAACATAGGTACTATTTCTTCCAGCCTTAGTATAGTTTCAAAGCCTTGCTGCTGAAAGATGGTTAATTTACTCCCTAGAAATAAGAAAGGAATCTCGTTTCTTCCAGCCTTAGTATAGTTTCCTTGCCTTGCTGCTGAATCATGATTTATTCAAGCCATAGAAATAATGAATTAAGCTTGTTGATGTTCCCTTTACTTTAGTTTAGTTCCTAAGCTTTGCTCCTGACGGAATAATAATTTAAGCAGTATAAATAATAGAAGTAATAAATGAATCTTGCTGTGTTAGTATAGTTCCAAAGGCTTACTGCCGAAGAATTATTTAACCCGTATTAATAAGCAAGTTCATTTCATTATTGATGTTATGTTAAGATTCAGCGTGCTGGGAATCTGTTCGCTGTCCCTCACGTATTTTTCCCCCGTTTGCTTTGTTCATGAAATTATGTTTATTATAAGGATAATGTTTGATATAAGGAATGCCATCTTAGGTACGGTATATTTCAAGCTTAAATTTGTTCTGGGATACATCACAATGTTTGCTGTAATTGCTCTGCTGCTTGGTATTTACTTGCCTATTCTCCAAAATACTCAGTCCATGCTTATCAGCCTTAAGATTTAATCTGCTATTGCTAGCTATGAGTCTTCAATTACGTCCAATGGTATATTTACCTCCCATATCTCAAACTGAATCTTCCTGCCATTTCAAGTCGATTTATACCGACCAATTGTTGGCTTAATCTACTTGAACTTCATATCTTAAAAAAATCTCCAATTGATATTAAAAAATGGCTTCATTATTCGATCCGTTGTGGTTTGTTTACTGTTTAGTTCTGCGAGAAGGGATATCCACGAGTACTCATAAATGTCTCCGGTGAAATGTGGGGGATTCGGGAGAGGTAAATGTGTCCGGTGGGAGATGATAAAGAAATCTTGTGTCTCGTTTGGATGTCTTAAATTTACTATCTGCGGAAGTGATGTAAGCGGTTACTACTGTAGATGAAGTTAGACGCTAGTCTGGTGAGGCTTGATGCCTCTTCTGCAGGTTCAGTCCATCACACGTGCGAGTAATTTTCTCAGACGAGCTCGTTTACCAACTGATATGAGATTATTATAATAGTGAGCATTGTGAGTTTTATCAGATGTTTATCATTTAAAACAGGAATCAACCTTAATTTATGTTACCAGCATCCAGCACTCACGGAACGTTCAGTTGAGAATATTTCTAAAACTCATCCGCCCATTTGAAGTGCCCGCAGAGTTGAAACTTGATTCGTGCATAACTAATTCCTGGCTATCATTGACTCTTAAATGTCCATATGTTTTCGTGTCTAGCTCGAAATACTGTTGTATCTTTATTCGTATTAGCCGGTATAACCGCATGGTATTGTAGTATGCGTATATCTTTCCCGCAGTCACTTGTACGCGTACTAGTAGTTTCTCTAAGCATTAAGTTTCTGTCTGCCATTCTTGTAGTATCGCTCAAAAAAACTATGCTTTATTACTTTTTCAACGGAATTATTAGCTTGTGTGCTACGACCGTCATACTGTCCAGTGCGAAGAAAAATGCAGGTTCTTGTGCGACGGTTCATTAAAAGTGCCTTTTATGTGAATAACTGAACGCGATACGCTTCTTTTGGCCTTAATATTTTGTCTTGTTTAACTTTAATTCTAGATTGAAAGGGTTTTCTGCCTCGTCCAAGCGCAGAACATTCCGTGTTGAATTTTTTCCCATTCTACTTTCATTGTAATACTTGGAAGCAAAACACTTGTAATCTTATTCCATGCTTCTAATTAGGCTGTGTCGCTGTTTTCTCGTGTAACTCGAGCTTCCTCTGAGTATAAATGGAGCCAGGCTTTGTCTTCATTTACATTACCTTCATTTTATTCAGTGTTCGCGGATATTTATTTTTGTGCGGTGCCAAGGAGTAGACTGCACTTCGGAAAGCCAATGTCTTTCTCTACAATTCCACAGTAATACTATTTCTTACTTCAGTGTAAAAATGTAAGCGGATTTGAAAGTTGATTAGAAAAATTATTATGAATACAGATGAAGATTTGTCTCAAATGTTGGATGGCAATAGATCGAGTAAAATTATTTACGGCCTATTTTTGATATGACTAAAAATCCGTTAAAACTCGATTTCCAGGTAATGAAAGTCAGCAAAATATAACTTAACTCCTCTCAGCTGAACAAATATGTACAAATAAGTGCACTGTAAAAAAAACAATACGATATGTAATAGTGTCTTTGTAAGACAAAAGCAACTGTACAATAAGTCATCAGTGGAAAAATCGCCCATTATAATCTCCTTCTTAACACACACACACTTGCAATTAACGCTGCAAATCCCATTTTTAGCACCTGAGATGAGTTAAAACCCAGATACGCCCTCTTCCACCACTATGTACGAAATTTTTTTTAGCCTCGATGAAATCTTCGATTGGAACTCGCGAAATCGTGTCCGGCTGCGCGAAACAGTCCGAGCCTCGTTGAACAATTTTAGTTCAACTAATAAATTAACTAGCTGTTGGTAAATGTCGCGAGCTGTCATTTGCATATGCACAGAGCATATAAATTTCCCAAAATTCGCAGTTTTGGAGTCATTTTTTTAGGGGGGAGGGTTCTTAGCAAATTTATCAGTTTAACGCGTGGGACTCAAATGGATGTTAGGTTTAGAGATACAAAGAAATTTCATTCAACAAACTGACATCGTACAATGGTTGTATGGAAGACCTCTTCCCTCATGGATAATGATCAGTCTGATCAGACCCAGTAGTCTTGATGTGGCAAGCATGGGGCAGAAAACGAAGAGAATATCTAAGTTGATACAGCGATTTTCAATAACATTAGGAATGGATGACATAAATGTGCTGGGCATATTTAAATGAAGTTGAAAGTAAATGTGATTCATATTATAATAACATTAAAATTATATTTCACCTAGAATTGTTTTCTGATGCTCCATGCTTATGACAAAAAAGTGCAGAGTGTATGAGACCGGGAGCTGGACAACGGTAAATAACTTCCATCTTATAATTCCATCAAGAAAATCTTCATTTGTGGGCAACCAGGTTTAAGATCATAAAATTTACGATGGCAGTTAGTATTTCTAGTATTCAGTTCCTGATATTGATGGTATGAAAATGGAAATACTTAGCTTACATAACAATAGGTATTATAAAACGAAGTGAATACAATGAACTTGTGAGAACTGCACAGAAGTTTGTACGCCATTATACAACAGGCTTTCGCCAACGCTCAGTATTCAACAGAAGAGTAGAGAGGTCCCATCAATTCATGCTGCGCGAATTCCATACATAACCTAACAAGCAAAACTAAGAATAGCATCGGAATGAGAAGAATTATAATGGAGTAGCGCGTGTAAAACTTGAATACATCATTTATTCGAAAGCATATGCGTTGCTAGATAATTATTCACAAATACATATATACAATCTCATGCGCACTTGAACAGGCTCCACGTCCGTTAAAAGAAATTAATTTCATGTATATATATAAATATATATCAACCACAATATATTGGCAACTCAACAGAGATCATGCAGGGTAACTATAAAATCTTCGAACTAAAGTCTCTCGGACGAGAAATGAAATAATACTACAGTTTAAAATACTCAAATTATGGTTTTTAGAATAGAAAACAATGCATTGCCAAGAATTTGAGGGTGCTGGGGCATGTCATCGTATTTAAAGCGACAACTCGCGACTTGTCCTTACGTTATCAGGTGTTAGGAGAGGCAGTTTATACACAACAATGCGAGGTGCGAAACATGTGCAAGGACACAAAAACAAAGATGACATATACTGCAACTCGGATTTATAAAAAATTCTTACATTTTAAGCAGTCGGAAAAAAACTAAGGTATTATTATTCAAATACAACAATGGGTAAAAAAATTGTCCTTGTGAATTGAAGCTTCATCGTTTCGAATGGGGAAAGAACAAAGCGAAAATCTAAAATTAAGCTGAAATTCTGAATTCTGTACAATTTTGTTGAATACAACACAATCATTCGAGAACCTATTTTAAAACATTTGTCGCCAGAAACGTAAACAGGAAGACGGGAAATATAAAATAATATTTATATATTAATACCTTTTGTCTTTTAATAATCTTTTTAAAGTAAAGCATGCATACTAATTCTATTCGTACATGGTCATCCGCCACTTGCAATTGACATACAAGCGTGACAGACGCGACTCTTATAGAAAAGTTCCAGCCACACGAGCCTTCACAATCTATCACAGAGATAATATCCATTGCCAAAGAGGGAGCCTAATATATACTGGCTCAGTCTCCGCAACCTAGGATGAACGTCTCCACGAAATACCGTCGATAGCAAAAGAATGTCTAGGTTTCAAATTACGGAAGCAAGCGCTTCATTTATCTTTTATTAATCTTTTTTACAGGCGCAACTGACACTAATTCCGTATGAACTTCGGAAAGTCATGTATTCGATGAGCTGGAGAAACAAAACAGCCATTTAAATCATACGCAAAACAATGAAGCCTTTCTTCGGTGGACTGCAGCCTTAGAATAAATTTTGACTTCATATGAGAAGAAGGCAACAGAACTTCAAACGGACAACTCATCTTCTGCAGTACGAGTACCACGAGGGCGTGTAAAAACAATAGTAATAGGATTGGAGAGGACGATTTGAGCGTCATACACTCGACTCTGTTGTAAGATTGCGAGCCCTCATACTTGCTTCACAATTACACTCGTCAGGGACGGCAGAACAGCAAGCTAAAGACGCTGCTGAGCGTTGGATGGCAGCGGAGCAAGTAATTGGCACATGAGCAGCTGTGCTCAAGTTACCTCGACACGTGCATGTTCTCGTGTCGCACGAGGAAACGTAACACTTACCACTGTTGTTCAAGGCTGGCTTTTCACTCAAACACTCGCTGCCACAACGCTCTCGAGGAGAGACTCTAGATTCACAGTTTCTTATGTCGAGGCTGCCGCTAGAGTGGCGATTTACACGACCTGGACCGCAGGCTAGAGAGTCTTTGTCCCGGCCGGTGCACCGGCCGCCGCTGCTACCACATGCAGAATCCCCATTGCTTAAACTACCAAAGTTGCCACAGCTATTTCTTAACGCTATTGAATTCAAAACATTATCGCTGTTATAATTCCCACTATATGTACTAGAGTTAGAGCGATGGCAATGACATCCACCACCGGCGGACACTTTTGCACTACTTTCATCAATCTTACTAGAAGGCACAGACTCGACCGATGATCTGGCAGTGTTGCGGGAGTTTTTAGATAAGACGGAGGTATTGCACTGGTTTTCTTTGAGGCTATGAGAAGGGTATAGAGAGTCAGCAGCTGCTAACGAATGCAATGACGAGATAGATGAACAGCCATTGGATGAAGGACTAAGCTTGCCTCTGTTTGACCCGTTTGGTGAACGATTAAATGAACCCCTAGCGCGACCGTTGCACCGGGGACTCGCAGATGAAGAAGGGCAGTTGACATGGACGTAGCTTGCCGTTTTATTGGCGTGGCTGTTGCGTAGTGGAGGGCGCGACGTCGAGCTTACCTGAGAATCACCGTTGGTAAGGCTTCGTTTTATAGTCATCGACTCGTTGCACATGCAAGTTTTACCATCGTATTTGTCATCTGTGGCGGCACTACTTGCCGCAGCGGCCGCTGCCTGTGCCGACACGGCAAGAGAATTGGCAAATTCGGCGCTAAGTTCTTCATTGTCAGCCAACGAGACGCCGTTCACAGTGATGATCGAAGCGAGAGTCTCCGGTGAAAACGAACTCACAGAGCTGGCATTGCTGAGCTTGTGACTGCCGACACTGGCGCGGCTGACCAGACTTGCTCGGCTTGCGCGACTTGTAGTACTGGAAAATAAACTCAACATAAACACTCGAATCTCCAAATAATTTATCACTAAATTTTCATTCATCATCAAGGACGTACCGAATTGAGTGCTTACTTGGGGGAGAGACAAAGTAGCAAGATGAACATTTTCCATTTTTCTACACATGAATAAATTACAGCAATTACCAGCTTACTGCTACCATGTAATGTTTTCTGTTAAGTTTCCAAGTTAAACTACTTTGAGTAAGCTGGAGTACGTGGGTAACCTTGCAAGTTAGCTCTTCCAATATACCATACGCTTTTTCAACAGTACCTGCATGACGAAGGTGAGCGTGAAATAGGCTGAGAGGACGTGGAAGGTGAACGCTGTCGTAACGTCACCGTGATGACACTCTTCTTGTGCGCTGCGATGACAGCAGGACTGGCAGGCTGGATAAGCACATCAGGAGTACTACGGCTGCAAGGTACGGGGTTAGATGTCATTGTAGCTGCTGTTGCCGCAGAGCTAAGCGGTAATGATGATTTTGAGGTCTCTTCTAGGCAAGCAGACGAAGGATTTGTTTGAGGATCACAATTGTGATCTGCGTCAACTGAGGACGAGCAGGTACATTTAGTTTGTTTGGACGATACAGGTTCCACTGCTTGATTACGCGAGATGTACACAGTCTTAGGTGCGTGGGGTGGCAGTTTATCCGAGTTTACCACCGCGGTCTTTATTGTTTTTTCTTCACTATTTTGCTCATTAGCACTCGATTGGCTGGTAGATTCAATTTTTAGACCGTAAGTGGTGGCAACATTTTTGGCAGTGTTGACGCCGTTTAAGTCGATCTTGCTTGTTGAATCAGAATTGCAAGATGTACCGTGCGACGAGTTTGCAGCAGGACTATGAGGAGCGCTCGTGTCCATAGGACTCGCACCTTCTACCTCCTCTTCCTCACTTTCTCTTTTCTCTTGGACGTCCGAGATACGTTTCTTCACAGGAGATTCCTGAAAATAAATTTTTATTTTGAAAATATCAATACATTCTAAAAAGCTCGAAAATTTCCAGTGTAAAAGTGATATTTCAGTTAATCCCTAACAGTTTATAATTTGATCCATAGTGAAATTATACTCTTATTTCACAGACGACAGAGCAATACTCGACAGAGTATTGCCCAGCTGAGGTATATATACATAACCTAATCTAGTGTTTGAGGTATAATTTGAATTTCAAATAATTATCGACAATATACGTTTTAATTAAAAGGAGGAATTAATTAAGCCTAATCCAAAGCATGGCTAAATTACGACTCAAGTCAAGTTACAGGTTAAATCATGGAAGGAACCACGCGCACTACTAAAAGGAATTCTAAATAACTGGAGAGGCCAAGACATCAGAGTAACTCAACAGCACGTCAGAGCCACCAGTATAGTAAGGCCAAGTTACTCGTATAGCCAACGGGGCCTCGGTGTCGCTGCTGTTCTCGCGCTCAGTGCTGTCTTGTGTGTGCAGGATGGATCGGCCGTGTCCCGGCAACGTAGCGTATGATCGGCCGCGCTCGAACGGCTTCCACGCGATGTTCGTGGGGCCGTTCGCGACGCCGGTGTCATTTGTGGGGTCGAGGGGCAGGGGTGACGTGGGTGCAGGGGGAGGGGTGTCACTGCTTGTCATTTCAGAGGTTGTTGTAGAAGTGGTTGTTGAAGAGTTGCAAGTTGTGTCCTTGTTTGCGTTATTAGATGCTGTAAAAAAAACAAGTTTAATGAAGAACTTAATTTAGAAGCCATAAAGCCTTTATATTTTTATATTCAGATATTGCTTATTTATTATGTTATTTATTAATAATTTTATTCTAATTTGATAAATATCCTCATGAAAATAAAAAAGGATTGACTGAATCACTTTTCTATAAAGTTCCCGCTATTTTCCCAACTGAGACATGAACACTCATAGCAAAGTTTGCATACTACATAATAGAAAGATAATTTAGCAGTATAAAACAAAGCAAGATTAACAAGCTAAGAGTTTTCAATTTACTAGAACAATTACCTACGAAATTTCAGACAGCCAAAGAGGAAGTATATTATTTAATTGAAGTTTTAGCGCAGCACTACACTTATCATAAATCATCTATACGAGCTTTACCTATCACCACTACGTATTCTTACGGTCTTGTTTTGTGCTTCAAAAAAAAACTGCGATGAATTTACTACGAGCTCAACAGAAAACTCGATCTTAATCGTAGTTTTAGTGGTTTAATTTAGAAGCAACGTACACCTTATAGTAAACGCTTGAAATGAACGTACAGCACCAGCGTTGCCATCAGTATATTACCACATCAAATTGACACCCCGGGAAATTTAATTACTCGCAACAAACTTCTTTACCGCTGGACAAATAACGTTCAATGACTTATATAGTCTCTTAAAATTCGAAAAATAACGTAATGAAGAGAAGGAGCGCACCTGCAGTTGGCTTGACAATAGGGGGGTTAAGAGACGCAGGCAGACAGTCCCGAGGAATGTGGTAGGACCAATGCTCTTTGTTGGCCGCGTTCGTCACGGTGTTCTCGTTGCTCTGCCTCCGCTGTGGTGGCCAAGTGGAGATAAATTTCAGAGTGATTCGGTTGCTCTTGACAAACGTTTAATACATAGAATAAACAATTTAAAATTGATTTGCTAAATAATTGAATCATTCTGCATGATTCTAAAAATCATCTATGATAAATAAATACGATCTTTTGGAATTGAGACATTCTCTAGCAAAACACGGACATTTAAAGCAAATTGGATTTATATATCTTGTGACCATGCCTCAATCTTTCAAATCATAAACAATGTTTATAAATAATCAGCTTCTAATGGAATATTATTGAAAAGCTAACAACTGATGAAAAACTTGGTATTATATTGAAATTACAGCAACTGCTGCATTGCAATTATCTTTCATGTTCAGTTTCCTGTTCTTTCGTTTGTACTATGGGGAAAACGGTAGGATACAAAATTTAGGACAAGTAAGTTTGATACGTTAAACAAAGAATGAAGCAAGGCTTAATAAACAGTATCGTCCAGGCATGTATACATTAGAAAGCCAGTTATATAAGCGTTCTAGAGTCAATCACTTCATAAATCCGTTTTGGAAGACATGCAGCAGAATCCATTCCTTGAATGTTGTGCCCCACATAGGAGTTCTGAATCATTCTCACCTGATAGAAGAGGAGGTACGCGTCTTGAGTGACGACTTGATCCGCTGACACTTCCTTGACTCTGCTGTCGTCGAACTCGTACCACTCGCCTGAACTCGGGTTATGGCACACAGCTGCCAACCATAAACGTTATTATATTAGTCCCTTTCAACCCAAGAGGTGAAAATAATACACAAAGCGCTATTGAAGGCAAGGTATATGCAAAACTTAACTAGCTTCAGACGTCAGTTGAAATTCAACTTTGGCACATAATAAAAAAATGAATATAACTCCCGAAAAGGTTATTTTTTGACTCACAGATATGGTGGTTATAAAAAGTCATACAGTAAAAGTTAGCAACTTTATCTGTATAAAAAATACTAATTCAACAGAACCACACATTTTGAACACCATTCACAGAAGAAGAACTCACCAGTATAGTGCCCGCCTTGCAAATCCTTGCCGTGATGGTTGCACACGGCATAAAGATCATAAACGTGTTTGTCTTCAAGTTGCTGTTGCTGCTGTAATCGCTTGGGCTTACGCCAAGGCGACCACACTCCTGAACCCATGCTGCTCATACTCGTGATACTCTTGTCTTTAGACTCCTCCGTGTTGCCAACATAAATTCCCTTCTTGCAATTTTCAGGGGAACTTTTGTTGACGCTTGTTGAGTAACTGCTGCGTTGAGCCACGTAATCCGAGATATCAACGCCCGTCAAGGGAAACGATACGAACGTGTTCAGTTTTGAGGAGCTGTTGCTGTTCAGAGAATTCTGGAATAGAATATATTTGTTAGAAAGAAAATAGATGTTACCTGAGGTTAATCTTCGACCAACAAAGATTCCAGAACAGGCACAGATAAAGTAATGTTATGGTATCAAAAGAATCGCGGAAAATCAGGACAAAAATAAAGGAAGACATGAGAAAATTGGAGTTCACACAAGAAATTACTCGGGGAAGTACATAAGAATAGACTTGAAAAATACCACTGGACCACCACTTGAGTCCAGTGGCGGTCCCATAAGAATTTAATCAAGTACACGTAGCGGCTTAAGTATACATAGCGGCTAATTTTTCGTTTGTGATTAGTGGGTCTAGATAGGAACGTCTCCAGTGATAGGCTGACAGAGTTACGATTTCGTAACTATATGCGATAGTACCGTATGGCCCCAGATGTACACAGACCTGCCTAAACCTTTTGAGGTGCAGCACGAGGATCTGTGGTGCTGACCAGAGCATCAGGCACTTCACTCCCTGCTCCTTCCTGTCACAAGAAGGGCAGTGCCACGCGTCGCCGCTGCTTAGCTGCTCCGCACTCGAATGAAGCTGCAATGAGTCAAAAATTATTATGAACAAAAAAACAATGACGAGTTGCAGAGGTTTTAGTAATTTATTTATGCAACAATTTCGGAAGAACAGAAGATGACAAAAAGAAGTAAAACAAGTCAATATTGCGAATATACTTTTGGAAAACACAACATTCATATTATTTTCATTCACAACATCAAAGAAGTTAGAAAACTTAGCATAATGCGTTGATTTCAATGAAAGATAGATATTGACTTGGAGAAAGAGACAGGTTAATAAAGCAAACACAAGGGATAATCATCTATGGTATACTAAGAGCTCACCCGCAGACAGTCTGCTAGGGTAGTGGGTGGTGGCTGGGGTGGACTGCGTTTGAGTTCGTCCACGCTGCTGTGTCGCTCCACGTGGTCTATGTCGTCAACGATGTACCTGCGCATGGAAATGATAACTCTTACCTCTAAGTTATGTAATGTCAAGTAAATCACGTGGACTTAATTCACCAAAAAATCTAAATAACCCGAGTAGACAAAAAATAAAGTCGCTTTGTTCTTAGCACATAACTAATTTTCTACCGCTCGAGTTTCACATAGAAATCATAGTAATAAATGAAAGCCATTATAAAATCAATATCTCACTATTTTGGATCAAGGCATCTTTGTATCGATAAATATATAATCGATAATAGTTTAGGCATTTTTTCAGAATTAGAATTAGTAACAATAAGAAAATTCTAAATTCAAGCTAAGGTAAATAATCATTGAGCAATCAAGGCCACAAAAAATTTTTTTGATCCTATCAGCAAAACCTAACGTGTAATTCACATGAATTTAAAGCAATGGAGGCCATTGGTAGGCACAAAAATGAATTTATATTCGAGTGTGCATGGGAATCAACCAATAGATAGAGCATATTATCTGTAATAATTATTACAATATAGTATATTGTATTGAATAATTACTGTAATATAGTATCTTGTATTGAATAATTACTAAAATATAGTATATTGTATTAAATAATTACTATAATATAGTATATCGTATTGAATAATTACAATAGTATGGTAAATTGTATTGAATTATTACTACAATAAAGTATATCGTATTGTAATTACTATAATAAAGTATATTGTAGTAATTAATCATTTTTCTGACTTTGTTTTCATGTGGGGCTGCCACAGCAGGAGGAGTTTGAGGTGCTGAGGCTGGTGAGGGCAACAGAGAGCGAGCGCCTGGTCCACGCTCTGGCTGTACAAGGGAAGCTCGACGCTGCTGGCGATGCTCACGCCTTCTTCGTCACCTTCACAAACACGCACTTGGAAAACGTCTTCCTGTAACAAAATTATCAAACATCTTTATAACTTTTACATATAAAATTATAACCCATCCTTATAAAATATAAAATTATAACACATCCTTATAATATATGAAATTTTGGCACATCCATATAACATATAAAATTATAACACATCCTTATAACATATGAAATTATAGCACATCCTTATAACATATAAAATAATAACCCATCCTTATAACATATAAAATTATAACAATTACAGGTTACACTTGGTGAGATGGTTGACTATACTTAGATTATTACTTTTTAGTATTAATGAGACTCTTTATCCAAGCAAATGAATCATATTCACCGGTGATACTTCTCGAGATGTTGACAATTTCGTCACTGGCTTTCAAAATGATAACTTGACATATTGAAATATTTAATTTTTGAATAAAATGTTTCCTGTAGACAAAATTTTCTCCATCTTAACGTTACAATTGAACCCTTTCATTTCACAGCTATAGGCAAAGTTGATCAAATATAGCACTTTAACTCACAATGAAGTCATAGAAATTAAGTTAATAATAGATATTAATACATTAATATTAATACCTTAAGTTAATGAGGTCAATCATTGAAATTAAATTGGGAAAGTAGACCGCCATAAAATACATTGTATGGAATGGAAAGCCGATAACACAAGCCTAATATGAACAACTGGTAGGCCAAATCTTCCTATAAACAAAGCAAGGCGCAAATTTGCTTTGCACCCATAAGAGGCTAGAGTAAGCGACCTCGAGCAGCGAGGTGAGAGTTAGCGAGGTGACGGTAGTGGCCATCTCTTTGAGGAGCAGCTTCTGCAGGTCCCTGTAGGAGATGTCGCGAGCCACCTGCGACTGGTACACTCCGCCAAACCTACGAGAGAGAAGCACATTAGGGACCGTACTATCAAAAATACTTATAAACTCCCTTTTAACTTATGGTTAAAAAATGGTAACTCCCTTAGCCAATCACTGACGGCATTTTTATATGGTTAAAAAATCGTAACTCCCCTAGCCAATCACTGACGGCATTTTTATATGGTTAAAAAATCGTAACTCCCTTAGCCAATCACTGACGGCATTTTTATATGGTTAAAAAATCGTCAGTCGATCACTACAGGCATTTTTATCTATCCTTGTGCTAATCTCAAACGAGAAATCAGCTGCTATGTTTACCTAGGCCGCTAAGACTACTTTAGAAAGTTCTAATCACGGCCAAAGAAAATAATAGCAGAAGCAGTATAAGAGTGCTGACGCATATTAATGAAAATAGATAGCTGCCCTCTTATTTATCTGCTGTAAAGATGTACCTATGGTAATGTCATTGTGGAAATAAGTTGCTGAATATATTTCACAGAATCAATATATCTTGCAGCGACAATATAAATTATAAGTAATTTCAACCTATACGAAATAACCGTCTGAACTACTTGGACGCAAACCTATAAATAATCATTTTTCCCATGTAATAAAATTGTAAAGTGAATCTGCAAACATTGTAAGCCAGGAAATCAACACGAAGTTTAAATTGAAGAATTTCTATTTTTTTAGAGTGATATCTATATTCGTTTCATCAAGAGCATTACGGATTCATGTATAAACGACACCCCACACGACTAAACATACCATAATCAACACTCGATAGTCGATGCATCAGTATAAACTGTTTTTTCAACAAGACGTTCACTTTTAATAAGATATTTACAATAAGTAAATATGATGAGCGTGACGCCAACTGAAGAGACGCACCTGACGTATCCGTCGTCAGCAGACACGACGTTGAGCCACGTGATGAGTACGAACGGCCCCTGGTCTTCAGAGGGCGTCGCGTCTACAGGCAACTCTATGGCGTGCACGCTGCCACCGCTGCCGATGCTGTCAACGTTGCAGTCGTCTGTTGAAAACAATCACAGTCAATTTGAGAAACAAAATTATTATGAGAAACAAAGTTTATGAGAAACAAAGTTATTACTTCAATGTAATTAAAGCTATATGAACTGCTGATGTTGTCTGTTGAAAACAATCACAGTAATGTCGAAGACTGTTTATACTTCAATGTAATTAAAGCTATATGAGCTGTTGAAGTTGTCTGTCTGTTGAAAACAATCACAGTTATGTCAATGACCGTTTTTACTTCAATGTAATTAAAGCTGAATCAGCAGTGGATGTCGAAGAGTAAAGCTGTGTTGCACGTTTCATACCAAAAGAAAGGAATAAATAGTCCAATTCTAACGTAAATAGTGTCAGTAGTGCAGGTATCTTAATTTTTTATTACCATCTTGTCAAATGTAACGCGTCGCAATGAGTAGGTATTTTGCATCTCCACTGATGCTGTTATCGACGATCCATGTCAATTATTCGCGGAATATTGCTGAATTACTCCGAGAGCGCAATTTAACCCTAGTTTGATATTCAACCCACGCGTTTCATTATCGTACTCTCAGAAGAAATGGACTTTCAAGAGAAATCCTCGAAAGCGATGGATCCACGAAACCCTTAGACATTATTTTGTTACACCCCACCCAGAAGCGCGATTTAACATCATCAGAAATAGTTGGGGCTGGAGAACCTTTCGTTTTAAATATATTTCTTAAAATTTTTAATAAATTTCCGAACGCGATGGAGTGAAATGTAAAATAACACGAATTGCTTTGCTCAAAAGGTTTTACACTGTGCAGTGTAAATTGAACCAGAAACTGTGTAATCATGACCATTCACCTCATTGACCAATAATGTAACTGTAACGGTACTCATGCCTTAATTACAGAATAGTCAGGGTATAATTGGATTAGAAAAGTTACCTACGTCAGTCCTAGTTGAATAATAGGTATAATAGTCAGGTATTAAATTTAATTCAGAAGCAGGTCGAATACTGAATAAGTCAGTCAATATATAAATGTTATTCAGAAGGATTAATAAATAAAGGTTATTCAGAAGCAAAAATAAGCAAGTTACCAGCAAATGTGCGATGGAAGCCACTACCGTCCACCTCGACCATGATGAGCGAGGCCAGCTCCAGCCCGCAGTCTGCGGCGAGCGTGCGACGTAACTCACCGAAGCTGCTGCCCACCACCACGTTCACGCCCAGGCACACCTTCAGCAAAAATGTTAATAAATACAGAGTTGCCTATAGCATAGCGTAATTTTTAGGATTAATAGCATAGCGTTATTTTTAGGATTATTAGTCTTTACTATACAAAAGTGTTCACGAAAAACACGTTAACAACCCTAGCGGCGCAAGAAATGTCAATCTAACTGCAATATTGTGACCTAAATTGCTATATTTTTAATGTTGAATTTTCATTAAGTTGTTGATACCGCCAAGTGGTTGTCAATGAACTATATTTAACATGAAGCACCCATAAATCACGTTTCCGCCCAGTTACGCTTTCAACTTTTGAATTGAATGAGGTAAAATTATTAAATGATATTATACAATAGTAAGAATGGAGTTCTAGTTGACATCTAATGAACGAAAAAAGCAATTAGACTAGCCAGCCAACACACCTGCTTAGGCTGCTGGTTAAGATAAACAACCGTCACGAACACGGGCATGAGCTCAACGTGCGGGATGGGCAGAGACACACACATGAAGGGGTCAAATGTGTTGCTCTCACACTGACATCTCGGACATCGCAGCGATGACCGGAACTGTGCCTGAAAAAAACAACACTTGTTATCATTTTGTCAAATGTGACAGAATTTTGTCGAATGTGACATAATTTGTGTCGAATGTTACATAATTTTTGTCGAATAAAACATATATGGTGATGGAATGCTTAATTATGACAACTTTGGATTCGCTAATGCGTCAGAAGGGATGTTAGTGTTTTCACAGATGGTGAAGATTAACTTGAACTTTGCAATATTGTGATAAATATTTGGTGAAAATAATGCAGGTTAAGAGAGATTCTTTAGGCTCTTAACATATTTTTATGCAAAACTCCGTTGCATGAACAGAAACTCCGAAGCCGTTGTAAACATTATACCTATAGGTTTTTGTTTTCTTATACGCAAGCGACACTTCGAACGTCGCAGAGAAATGGCTGAATTCTTGGCTTTTAATCACCTAAGATGATGATAATTTGTGTTTCGTTTGTATGTGAGCTTTCTCAAAAGGGGCATTTATGTGAGCGCAAAACTGGAATAGACAAGTTGCCAATAATAACGCCCCCAAACCGATAAAGAATAAAGTGCTTTCTCTCCCAGATTTTTCGAAAGAAAATTCCGCTTTCTAGTTTAGATTGTAAAAATACTGAATAAAAGTCATTGATTGCAATATTCAATGATTCGCTTTAAAAGGACTTAGAGAAATTGGATAAATTGAACTTTATCTCACCTGGAAGATATGTTGCACGAAGGAGCTGTTACAGCGCAAGTGGTTATTGAGCGTCTCCGAGGCCACCACCTCGTCTGGGCGGCCGTGAGAACTCTGAAATAGCCCAATGAAATAAATAACAAATTTATACTCCCAAGTCAATGCGGTTCATTACAGCAAAAAAATCAATAGGGAAAAAAATAATGCTTTCTACACAAAAAAGCTCAAAGATATGCAATATTAACTTTAGAGCAACAATATACTTTATAAGCAAGTTTCATTAATTTTACGTTGTTTGTGGATTGTGTTAAGTTCACACAATCATGTACGTAAATCCTTGCTCTGACTTAAAATTAGAAAGAGAAAGACGCGACATTCTACGGATCCGAGACCACGAAATAGTTTTCCTCATTTTAAGAGATATTCAAAAGCGTAAGAAAAAGAAAACGTGTTCTGAGAGTTGCAGGGATGAAGACTATAGTAGCGACTTCATTACCAGTAAAAAAATAATAATAATCTGGAAACAATGAACGATTGGCTTGGAGCGATAAGACCACAAAATAATCTTTAAATTTTTTTAAAAATAAATGTTTCACTTTAGTAAGGGATAGAGACAATGATATGACGACAAAATAGGCTTTAAAGATTTCAAAATGAAAGGTTTCACTTTAGTAAGGGATAGAGACAAGGGAGCTGTGCTAAGGCCACATAGCCGCACTCCAAGTGTAGTCAGAAGGGAAGGGCTTAAGTATGACGATTAGATGGCATGCAGTGATGTAGAGAATGCCGGCAAGCCTGTGGGGTGCGGCAAGCACTCACTTCAATGAGGTGCGAGAGACATTTTCTGCCATCCAAACACCAGAAAAACGCGGCTAAGACCACGCCTCGCAACAAGTAAACACAAGCGCCAGACTAATTTCATTTAACAGTAAGTAATGGAGCTACCACAGAACGACATAATAAATTCGAGGGAAGGGAATACTTCCCTCGAACGGTCGACGCAGTTCCCTCGAACTGCGTTTGTCGACGGTCAGAACATAGAAGCAGGTTTTTTGGGGGTAAACATGACTAACTTCAACTTTGAAACGCAACGAAACGGTACACTTCAGTAAGTCGAGTATAATAGCCAGTTAGCGATTTAAAGGATAAAAGCATTCAGCAGCTTAGTTAAAACGAAAATAAAATACGCACATGTATACAAGACTCGTAGAAAAAGCTAAAAAAGCGAACAAAATTTCCTCAGCACAGCATGACGTGTAGCCAACGGTTGAGGTATTCAGCTCGCCGTCTAGCCTAGTCCACAAATTCAATATTTTGTTGGCAAATTAGGCAGTAACTAAAACTGATATCAGCCGTAGTATGATTATTCCACTAGCGACAAGAAGCTCCATTAATTAGACTCCTAGGTAAAGTGGGTGGAAGATAGTAAATTGGTAGTCCTAGTCTACCAGAGATAGTAGATAACATCAGAACGCACTTCAGTTGTAGGTGAGATAAAGGCTTACAGTTGAAGCCATAGGCGTACAGTGCGGGAGCAAACATCTGTCTCGTCTTGACGACACTAAAATGTATTCAAGACTAGAGGAGTTCTCCACAGAGTATAATTTTATTGCTGCACCTAAGCAACAACTATAACGAAAATGAATGCCGAGCTCATTTAAAAAATTTTTGATTAAAAATATACATAGTAAATTGATTAAGATAAATCATTTAGGATTAATTAATTCAGGTCCAAGCAAACGAAAGCCACGAAATCTCCTTTTTTTGGACTATACAGGTCCAATCTTCTTTGCCATGAAATAACCTAAATCTTGTGCTTGGACGTTCAAAGCCAGGTTCCACTGTATCCAAATATAAGATCATGATTCATGAGTAATAATCGGATGAAATAAAGTGCTATCTTTCTAAAGACGATGCAAGTGATATGCCGAGTAAAAACTGCTATTTGGTGAGCGAATCAAAAACGCAGGGATACCATCGATTAGGTATATTTTATTATATTTTTGCAGGGAAATAGATTTTTTGCGTAGCCGTCGTTTATTTCAAAATATCTTACGTGGTCATCAAGATATTTATACACATCTTCTTACCCGCGGATCATGGTGGCAACAAACTCAAATAATAGCTTTTAACTAGTTTTGCTATTGATGAGCTACCTTGTTTTGTTTGTTTGTTTCAATTGACATAGCGTGGCCAAGACTGACAGGCAATGGCATGAGTCATAGCAGACGAGCAGAGCACTGCTGTCTTCGTGGAGTGAGTGTCGCGCCTCGAGCTATAACGGAAGCTTTTCAAGGGCGGGGTCTCTAGCACGCTGCTTACGCTGCCAGCACAGAAATTCAACCCTTGCCGGACTGCAAAGGTACAACTGTACCTACAGTCAGTACGAATAGAAAGTTGTAAAACTATGCAGTCTGACAAGGGTTAAATGACCGAAAATATAGAGCGAAAATTTACCATCACGTGTAATAGGTATATACAACAACAAAAGCGCAGCGAGAGAAGCAGTACAACATCGTCTAAAATATTAACGTAGATTTTCATAGTTCATATATAGGTAAAAACCAGTATGTATTTTGATAATGACTGTAGGATTAATATGCTACAGTGCAATTTGTGCAACTGCACGGTACTTCATTCAGAGCTAACAACTACCTACCTATAAATTAGATATGGTAATTTGCAGTTAATACATTGATAACATAACGCATGGCGAAACAATTGTTGAAGGTTGCATAATGATATCAAACATTGTCTCTATTACTTTTATAGTATCAAACACAGATGTAAATATATGGTTTACAGAACAATTACGACACAATAATGCAAGGGAGCTATAAATTATACCATAAAAATTCTGTTTATAACTGTTTCTTATTAACCGCGACTGTTCTAACTCTACTGAAAAAAAATAAACCCAACAACGCATTCTTTGATTATAGACTGCTGATTTTTATGGAGCTGAACTTTAGTCAATTTAAAGTGAGCAGACAGATAAGCGATCACAGCAATTATCATTTACATTCACATGTTATTAGTCTTCCACAGCTTTAAAATTCACAACGCGTCAAAGTGCTCGCTCCAGTGCCGCCCATATAGGATGAGGTCCCAACAACGCAGATCATCAAGATTAGTTGTAATACCCATATAAATAAGCCCCAGGTGATGACAAAGAAACCAAGCAGGTATCAGGTAAGAAACGACCTTCGTTTCGCGCGCACATGTTTTCCGGAACTCCAAGCCAGCAGTTACAGTACGGCTACACACATAATTAGGCTACGCGCTGAGTGTGTAGTTCCAGTAGTACTATTATTATTGAGCACAGGAAGTCGAGGGGACAAAAGTGACTGCAATCGCACCGGAAGCTGGATTCAATGGCTAAATTTACCTTATTCAGTATGGTTAGATACAGGGGGCTGAACAACAGCAACACCAGAAGTCAGGGTAAACAAAAGGGAACGCAATATACTACGCATTACACCGTTCTGTCTGTTGGATTCGGGAGAAAATAATTGTACACGTAATTTTAAGTATAAGAGGAATATAAAAGCAAAAAATTCTGTTTTCAATGTTTGGCAAAGGGGCAGTACAAATAATACATGCCACATTATAATGTAATACATTGTGGAATTAACGCACAGATAAGGTATAATAAATACGAGAACAAAATCTATGTTAAAGAGATCAGGCTCTGTAGTGATGACCGATGTTCAAAACTCATGTATATAGATAGCGCCATATTTTCTTGGTACTAAACTGACACAGTAGCGTCCTCCAGATATAAGCCTGTCCGGCATGCAGTAAACCTATCAATTTGCAATCAGGCGGTACAGGGGCCAGCTCCGGCGAGTTATTTGCAGGATATAAGCTATGACCAAGACCTAACGTTTGAAAGCAGATATAACTTATGAGGAATCATCGATCCTTGGTCATTACAACTAAATTATGGAACCCTTCTGTGTCTGCCGAGAGTAAAATTCTATGTAGAAGTGGGAAGTACACAGGTCCATACATTAGCTCAATACTGCGTGACCGCTTCTAGACAAATATTCTCATTTTGCTGCCTCTACCTACCAAGTTCTCTTGTTTCAAACAACAAAACGTGCAAATAAATCAAATATATTTTTTGTTTACCTGTTCACATATTAGCTCTAAAAATTTCTCTTGCTATGGGAAAACTTGACTTTTTTTAACCTAATTATTAACCTTGCCATCGGAAAACTTGAGTTTATTTTACCAAATTTTAACCTAATTCGAATAATCACAATATACCAGGAACCATTTACAAAATGGTGCACATGACTAACGATTGTGTATGTGAAATTCAGAACACAGACCTCGCAGCAACCACCGCAATACAGTACAACACTTGGCACAGGGCAAGGATGAGAGGATGTCAGTCATCAGACCGAGCGCCACCGGAACGTCACACTTGCAAGAGCACATTGAGGCTGTGATCACGTGCCCAGACAGATCAAAAATATAACTCAGTACTCACTGCAGTGAGTGACAGAGAGCGCATTTTCTCGTCGACGAAAACTTGAGGTCACGGACGGACGGACGGACAGACAGACAGACAGACGGACATGGCGAGCACAATACTACATTTTTTCCATAAATGAGAAAATGCGCTAAAAACAACATCTAACCAAATTATTGGTAATATTTGAAGGGTAATTCATTAGTTAATATAAATATGGTATTAATAACGATGAGCCGGAGGTGGCAAGACAAGTCAGCAAGTCCTTATCATGGTTGCTGGCTACCAAGACGATGAGGATGCTCATCTGCTGAAAGGTCACAAGGAAAACCACAATCAATAACAAGAGGGAGACGCTGGTCTGATCAAGAGCCAGCCCTAAAGAAGTATCACTTGCAAGAGCACATTGAGGCTGTGATCACGTGCCCAGACAGATCAAAAATATAACTCAGTACTCACTGCAGTGAGTGACAGAGAGCGCATTTCTCGTCGACGGAAACTTGAGGTCACGGACGGACGGACAGACGGACGGACAGACAGACAGACAGACGGACATGGCGAGCACAATACTGCATTTCTTCCATAAATGAGAAAATGTGCTAAAAACAACATCTAACCAACTTATTGGTAATAT